GCTCTTCCATCCTGGCAGTACATATATTTTTTTAAAAAGGGTTAAAAAGGCTAAATCCAAGGAAGAATAATAAGTCAGAAGCTGCAGTTAGAGTCCAGCATATGTAACCTGAGTTCAGGCCTTCTCCAGAAAGCTCTACATATTGCCTGTTGTCAAAAGTGAATGTTCCCAAACCGGCTTTTCTTACAGACATACAGTCAAACTCTCTAGATTGTTGTTCATCTGATGCAAGTATTATACTGAATAGATTAAGCTCCTTTCAGTGGCACATAAGTATGTATGTATATGGATGTTTTAGGGAGGAGGGTTTTCTAGTTTACACTGGTTCTTTCCTTCTTGTATACCTTTTCAAATTGTCCAGAAAATAATTCTCTAGCGGCACTTTCAGCTCTTCAGTTGCTAACTGTGTTGTGTATTTATGAACTGAACTGGTTGCTTAATCTCTTTTGGGTATCTCAAGTTCTGGTGCTTGGCCAGTGCCTGACAGACCTCTATTGTACATACGGTTCGTGGTTTGAACACTACTGTTGGATGCTAGTCCTTGTTTAGGATGAAATAATCAAAAAAGCAGAATTATATCCGTATTATTCCTCAAAGACTGCTTTCCCCAAACTGAAATCACTGAAGGTGCAGGAGTGTAGTTGTTTTATTGAATGACACAACCTTGCTTTCCCATGGGGAGCTTAAAAACTGCCTTTTAGATGGTCTGGGAGAGTTGAATGAGCTAATACGAAACACATTGTCTGCTGGTGTTAGAGTTTTAAAGCTAAAATTTTATCATTCCACAGACTGATTAGAAGTCACCATAATTCACGTACGAGCATGAAATAAGGCATAGAATGTTTGAGGCCTCTCAAGGGCATTTGATGAATCTAACTTTAATTTAAAAGTACTAATAGATTATTGATTCAAGCAGGATGACTGTGCAGAGATCAATAACAGATTACTCTCTGTCTCTCTTAAATACCAGACATTTCTGTTGAAAAGAAATGATCATTCTTATCTCTGTTTTTATTATGAAAAAAACTTCTTTACAGTTTGCTTAGTGCCATAGGAACCTGTAGATTTTTGGTTTGCCAAGGTTCAGTGTCTTTAATCCTGGAAAAGACAAGTATAGATCTGGACATTGTCTTAACATCACAATTTACGGAGCCACATGTTGTTTTACTTCTCTGTTTTTTCACCTCATTACTGTTATATACATAAATAAATTGTTCCCATTGGAAAGATATTTCTTTGCTCAGAATCAGAACCTTTAACACTTCACTCTAGTTCTATTTTCTTCTCAAGAAACATCTGTTCTTGAAGTTAATAGTAGCTTAAACCAAGTAAAAATGGCAGAAAGGAGCCCTCCTCCCTCAAGTAATCAGAAGTTGCATCGTGCTCTGTGATGCCCTCTGTGAATTCTGTAGAACACGAGTTGACAATGAATCATGAGTTTAATACAAATGGATCATCTTTGTAATCTGAAAAATATAATGTGCAGTAAATCTTGTCTAAGATTTTCCATTGAGTAATATTCTTTAGGGCCTGCTGTTAGTACTCTTGAGATTTAACTCTGCTGATAGTGCCTAATATTTCTGGAGAGATCTGAGTTCACCGATCCTGTCATTTCTGTGTATCTGTTGAAAAGTTAGGGGGATTTATCTAAGAAGCAGCACAGCAGCTAGGTGAAACATGAAAATGTATTGCACATCTACAATAAATGTGAGGAATGATGACAGCATATCACAGAAAAATAATGCAGATGTTTTGGAAAGATGTAGTTCACATTGTACCTTGCATCGTAGAGCTTTCATGTCCTTTCCCTGAAAGGGCTAACTGGCTTTTCAGCAGGTTCAAAACAGATGACCATCTAGAAATATTAAGGCAATAAAGGGATATGGGGTCATAATATGTAAGTAGCTTTTTTTCAGAGAGGTTTATTGATGATAAAAATCCTGAGGTGGGTAAGGAAGTGTTACTGGGTTGTGCAAGTTTTACAAATACAAAGAAAGAAGACTTGTTCAGGTAATTTTGTCTCTTTATGAGTGTCCTGATGCATGCCACTATGCTGCTGTAGCAGAATTGCATGTTGGAAGTGTTGCCTTTTGTAGAAAAATGCAAAAAGATAAAAGAGCTCTTCCAAAATCAGGCACTGATTGGAAGGGTCCATGCCACAAGCAGTTTCCCAGTGAAGGCTGATACCCAGCACACACACAGGGATCCCACGCAGTTCAGCA